GTCTTCAAACACAAACCAAACCCATTTTCTTTGTGTAGTCAGGGTGTCTGCGCAGTGTGAGTCAGCATCCTGTTGCGAATGGCTGTTGGTTCCTTGCCATCAACAATAAAGACACATTTTCCATGGAATGCCAGGCTGTGAAGCTGACTTGGGGTTCCTCTCACAGAAAGGAGGGCTTCATGGATTTGCATTGGGCCATCACTTTAGACTCAAGTCTCCATGCTTGAAAAATATGAAAGATGATTGGAGTGCCCCAGGACCCCGAAGTCTGCTGCCTGTCACCTGCTGTCAGTGTCACTTTCCCGGGGGGCAGTCACTTAGCAAAGGTGGCGGGCCCCTAGGACAGTCACCCATCTTGCCATCAGAATTGCTGAATTTGCTGTGAGCACTTAGATTAGCAGACTGACCTCATTCAAAGAGTTAACGCTTACAAACCTGCGTGTGCTATTACCCATCAGAAGCCAAATGCATGTGTGTGTGCCTTGGCTCCTTGCCAATCTTGGAAAACCCTGATTTGTATTAGACTTCTCCTCCAGCCAGTATTAGGGTCTGAACTCAAGAGTCTAGGTGCTTCCCCTTAGCTTTTTTACTCAAGGCTGGTGCTCTGCCCCTTGAGTCACAGCTCCACTTCTGGCTTTTTGCTGGTTATCTGGAGATAAGAGTCTCACAGACTTTTCTGCCTGGGCTGGCTTGGAACCACCAGGATCCTCAGATCTCAGCCTCCTGAATAGCTAGGATTACAGGTGTGAGCCACTGGTACCTGCTGTTTGTAGTCATTTTGGAAGTAAGATTTCAAAGGTGTCCCTGGTTGGGGCTGGGAAGGTGGCTCAGTGGTAGAGCACTTGCCTTGCATGCCTGAGGCCCTGGGTTCAATTCCTCAGCACCACATAAGCAAAAAGAAAAAAGCCAGGAGAGGTGCTGTGGCTCAAGTGGTAGAGCGCTAGTCTTGAGCTGAAGAGCTGAGGAATAGTGCCCAGGCCCAGAGTTCAGGCCCCACGACAGGACCCCCCCCCCCCCAAATAAAAGGTGTGTCTGGTTTACGGCATTCCTCTTCACCTTCTTTGGATGCCTATACACATTACTGCTTCCCCGGGTGAGCCTACCAGAGGCATGGGAAGGAACGGAAAGCTATCTAAAATTGCTTCTTCTGCAAGCTTTTTACCTCCCTCACAATTTTCTGTCTTGCAAAATCCTTCCCAAAGCCCTAGCAAATGAACATTCAGAAAGTACAGGTCCAGAGAGACAGATTTTCATAGCCCTGGTGACTGGTGTTGAATATAAAGCTTTCCCGGTGTCCTGGTGCTGGCTGGGTCTGGTTTTTGATGACTGTGCTGGCCCAGGTAGCTAAGAGTTCTTCTGCTTCTAAGTGTGCTGAACTATTTTCTTTTTTTTCCCATGTTGGTCCTGGGGCTTGTAATCTGGGCCTGGGTACTGTCCCTGAGCTTTTGTGTTCAAGGCTAATGCTCTACCACCTGAGCTCCATTTCTGGCCTTTGGGTGGTTAAATGAAGATAAGAAGCTCACGGAATTTCCTGCCAGGGCTGGCTTCAAATCATGACCTTCAGATCTCAGCCTCCTGAGTAGCTAGGACTACAGGCGTGAGCCACTTGCACTCAGCAACTTATGCATTTTCCACAAGAGTAAAATTACTTCCCACACTAGGATAGCAGGTGGAAGGAAATGGTAGACGTGTCCTAAAAGGATTGCTCCGTCTCACTGGCAGATGGATGTATTCTGACATTTCAATAGAGGTCCTGCCTTCAGAGGCTTTGGCTGGAGAGTCCATCCCAGGGCTCCATAGCCTTTTTCCTCTTTCCAGTTCAATTTGAAACATGCAGGCAGACAACGGGAAAGTGCTGATGCAGGAAAGATTGGGGCGGTGGGGCAGCAAGTGGAAGCTTGCAGAAAAATCTCCTCTGTGTAGTTTCTTGGTGGCTACTGGCATTCTCGTACGTGTCAAGCGTCAGAGAACTCACTTGCGTCCCATCCTGCATCTCAGCAGGCTGTTGGCTGGGTAAATAATGTAGGTGAAATATATTTAGGTTGTTCCTGACTGTAGCTCCAGCTGCTGCCTCCTAGGGAAAGGTTCTGGTTAACCCACTCAGGATCTTTGACTGGGATTTTTCAGTAATTGCATTGACTTTCAGCTCTGCTGGCTGGACACTTAGCTGCTGCAGGATTACAGCAGGTGAAGACTGTTTTGTTGATTGAGAGAGCATAGGACTGTGGCAAAAATTGTAGAATGACTTCTTATGAACGGTTATTTCTTACTAGAGTTTAGACAAAGGAAAGCATTTCTTTCCCTAAGATTATAACCCCCTGTACCTACCAGAAACCATTGGTAGTAATGGCATAAAAGTCGTATCACAGACAGATTTCGAAGGCTCTTTCCCGTCCCTACCTGTGGCTCTCCATCTGTGTCATATTCTCAGGTTAGGAATTGCCAGGAGACTGTTGAAATGCTGCTCTCAGGGTCCTAAGTCCCAGAGAATCATCTAGGCAGAGCTCACCTAGGGCTCGGGAAACTTTTTTTTTTTCTGGTGCCAGTTCTAGGACTTGAACTCAGTACCTACCTGCATGCTATCCCTGAGCTTTTATGTATTCAAGGCTAGTATTTTACCACTTGAGCCACAGCTCTACTTCCAGCTTATTTTGGAGGGGGGTAAGGAAGGAAGGAAGAGTGGCTAATTGGAGATGAGATTCTCAGGGACTTTCCTGCCCAGGCTGGCTTCAAACCTCCATCCTCAGATCTCAGCCTCCTGAGTAGTTAGGACAACAGGCATGAGCCAGTGTAACCAGCAATGAGACTGTGGGTTTTGTTTTTTTTTTTAATTAAGTGCTCCCTGCCATTTCAAACCAAGGACCACATTCTGACATGTACACATGTTGTATATTTGTTTCTGAGAATGATTTTTTCCTGGATTCTTGGTATGAGTAGAGGTTAGCAGTCCCTAAGTTTACTTGGGAAATAGAATTAAAGTGAGAGGAGAGAATTGTACTATGGTTGTAAGAATTCAACGTCAGGAGATACAGGTAAGAAAGTTAAATACGAGGCAAGTTTCCATTCATTAAATCAGTAGTTTTCTTTTTCCTAATAGATTTTTGTTCCTTTTGTTTGTTTGTTTGCTAGTACTTGGTTCACTTGCTGGATTGGCCCTCTATCACTGGAGCCACACTTCCAGCCCTGATTCTTTTGGTTAAGTAGTGATGAAGTCTTGAGGACTTTTCTGCCCGGCCTGGCTACAAATTGTGACCTCCTAGGTCTCAGCCTCCTTAATAGCTAGGATTAGAGGCATGAGCCACAAGTACTCTGCTCCCTCTTTATTTGTTGATAGTATATAGAAGACTGAAATAAACATCTTTGGTATGGATTCCTATTACGGCAGCTGGGGGCTCTGTGCTTATACTAAGGACTCTAAAAATCAAAGTTGAAGTTGTAGAAGCTTTAGTTACAATAACCAATGTGTTGGTATAAATCCACTTTGAAACAAGTTTTAAAGATGTTACTTATTTTTATGCCCAGAAACTTTAACTTTGTGCCTTTTGAGCTTTCTAACACATTTGAGAGATCAAGATCCCTGCCCTTTCAGTAGGTTCCATGTTTGGCCTCAATCACAATAGTTTTCTGGGTTTTTGTTGTTTGGTGGTGGTGGCGGTTGTTTTCTTTTTTCACACTCCTGATGTTCTTCAAACCAAGCTGTCTGCAGTTTGTGAGTGACCTTGTGAACATAAAGACTCTACTCTCTTACCTCAGAATTACCTATCCAGTTATGACAAAGATTTTTTTCCTTTTATTAACCAGAGTTCTTAATCAGTGGGAGGTGAAGAGAGCCTTTCATATTCAGAACCCTTAAAATCATTCTTTCTTAAGTTAAAATGGCAGGTTAGGAGGATTTCTGATATAAAATTGGAAACTTCCTCATACCAGAAAGTATTGCTTATCTTTGTAAATACACATGTTCCAATTAAAATAGGTACTAACATATTTTGGTGGCACTTCAAACCTCCCAATTTAGATTTAATTTAGATTAAAACACTTACTCTTTTTTAATAAAGTTATAAAATTGATTATTAAAATTGCCTATTGAAGATTAAAAGCAGTGGAACGTTTATTTTCCTTCCAAAACGATTTAGTCTTCAATAAGCATGATGGTGTTAATCAATTATGCTATTAAAATACAACTGCCATATTAAAACTGACTCATTTGTCATGACCGTTTGTATAATTATAGAAATTATACCTAGCTGCTTATATAGCTGTAATCCTGCAATAAATATAAATAATTGTCCCTATTAATTCAGCTTGCAGTTACTGTCTATTAAATCCCCAGTTAAGGGGCAATTTGGAGACTTCCATTTAAAATCCCCTAAGTCTTTGTTGTTCCATTTGACTGCCAAAACTCTGCAAACACACCTCCTGCTGTTGATTCCAGAAGCCAATTTATGAACAAAATAGTCTTTTAAACACAAATACTGGAAAAAGTCCACCTAGGTTTAAAGTTTAAGGCCCTTGGAAGAGGGGAAATAAGAAAAGAGGATGTGAGAACATGTTGAATAGAAGGTTTTGATAAAAAGAAATAGAGGCCAAGACTCCATCTGGACCAATGGCTAAGTATCATGCAGCTAATGGAGAAAGTCAAATAGGAGGATTACAGTCCAAGATCGCCAAAGCATAAAGCAAGACCTTCTCTTAGGAATAACCAACTTTTCTTCCTCTCTTTCTCTGTCTCGCTCTCACACACAAATATACATACACACTCACACACACACAAAGGGGCTGGCAGAATGGCCAGCAAATGTGAAGTCTTGAGTTCAAACCCAAGTACAGCCGACACAACACAACAAGAACTAATCTTGATGCTCTGGCAATTCACTTTGGAAAAGAATATCTATAAATTTCAGTTTGCAAAACTCTTGTTTAAAAGCTTCTGTAAAACAAACAAAGAAACAAACAAGTATCTAGAATATACAGTTAACTACTTGCAACTTGTCTCCCCACAGGTGTGGATGAGGTCACCATCGTGAACATTTTGACAAACCGCAGCAATGAGCAGAGGCAGGACATTGCCTTTGCCTACCACAGAAGGACCAAAAAGGTATGGGTAATTTCAGGCACAAGATGCTTGCCTTGTGACACTTAACTTTCCTAACACTCTGTTTTTTTTTCCTTTGGGTGCCTTTTGCCCTCAGCAGCAAGAGCCTTCTGGAAGCCTTGGGTATACAAGATTTCCCTCTAACTCCCGTTAACAGTTGCTATTCATACGTGGAAGTTCATATACAAAGACAGCAACCATTATTCCAATACCCTGTTATCCCTACCTAGCGTATAAGGAGAGAGAGGGGTTCTAGAAATAGAAAAATAGGAAAGAATAGAGAAGAAGAGTAACAATAATAATTGGCACCATTCATTGAATTCTTACTTTATGCTAGGCACTGTGCTTAATTTTCTACGTGCAGCAATTAATTTCATTTTTATGACTTTTGGCAGCTCTTGATAAATTTATATCGGCATCAGTGGCTCACACTTGTAACTCTAGCTACTCAGGAGACTGAGATCTGGAGGATCATGGTTCAAAGCCAGGCCACGCAGAAAAGTTTAGGAGACTGTCTGCAATTAACCAGCAAAAAGCAGGATCGCTCGGATGGTGCAGTACTAGCTGTGAACGAACAAGTGAGAGGGTGAGGCTCTGAGTTCAAGCCTTGGAATGAGGGGAGGAAAGCAGTTTCTAATTTAATCTTAGCACTGTAACCTCCTCTGAAAATCAAACCTACCATGTCCCTCTTATTCTCAAAAAAGAAAAGAAAAAAAAAACAAAGAACCTGAATTTCTGACGGTTGTGCAGTGAGTGGGCTTAGTTGGTGGTATCGTGCTTTCGGTCTCTCAGGTATCTTTAACCCACCATGCTTCTACTATTTAAAGCCTTGGCATTTTTTTTCCTTTGCCTGTCCACTAGTGGCTAAAGAACAGCCCATCTATGTTCATTTTTATTTTGTCACAGTGTTAGGAAATTTTATTTTGAAGGATGGGCTGCTTTATTTTTAACTTCTTGCTATTAAAAGGTTTTGATGTCTTCTTGGATGGCGCGGTGAGAGCGTAGGGGCGGCTTCCTGCTGCTCCTGTTTGACTTAAGCTTTCACTTAGAACTACCAGCAGAGATGAGCTGGCAAGACTTTCTGTTCTTGAGGTTCACATAGCCACTGGGGGTCTTGGGAGCTGCAGCTCAAGCCTTATTATGGGTCCCTCCTCCCCCATCCCAATCAGCTGGCAAGGACCGAAGTAGGAAAGCAGCTGACTACTTTCATCCCGTGTGTATTAAAATTCTTCTTCCACTAGATTTCCATTAATCTGCCACGGTGAGGCACAGAGGGGAATGTTTTATTTCTCCAGCTTCCCCCGAGCTAGCACAGCCAAGTAAGAGCAGACAGTCCAACTAGTTTGGTAAGGAAATAATTGCTCATTCAGTTGTCACCGAGTGTGGTCTTAGAACTGTGTGTACACACAAACACAAAGGCCTAGATCGTGATTTCAAATGAGATATATGGAGAACAAAACTCACATAGATCCCGTGGGAAGGATGATAGGCCCAGAATCATGGTAGGAGCCAGCAAGAGCAGTTTTTGCTGTGTGTTAGAGACAACTTGTTCTTCTGCTGATACTTTAAAAACATTTTTTGGGGGGTCGTAGGCCTTGAACTCTGGGCTTGGGCACTATCCCTGTGCTCAACAGTTCAAGGCTAGCACTCTACCACTTGAGCCACAGCGCCACTTGCAGTTTCCTGGTGGTTTACTGGAGATGAGTCTCATGGACTTTCCTTCCTGGGATGGCTTTGAACTGTGATCCTCAGATTTCAGCCTCCTGAGTAGCTAGGATTATAGGTGTGAGCCACCAGCGCCTGCTGCTAGTTTGTGACCTTGATCAGAGAGAACTGTCATTTATAGAAAGGTTTGGTAAACTTCTGGAGGTAGTTTTTGAAGAAAATCCTGAACATAGAGCCTTATCATTTGAGATGAGTTACCTGCCTAGTACTGTAGGGATGTGGACCCAGGCTGTGCCCCCATGGTGAACTTGACCTAGGAACATACAACAACACAAGGGAAGCAGCGCAGGCTGTGAGCTCTGATTTTATGTTCCTTCCATGTTCTGGCAGTTACCAGGTAGGACACTGCCCTTTGTAGGGAATGGTTGTGTTGGGTCTGCCAGCCATATCTGGGATTTTTGTTAAACACTAAAGTCCTGTGCTAGATATTCCGAGAAACAGGAAGTGGAATGCAGACAGAGTTGAGAGTAAAAGTAGAAGTCAGTAGGTGTTTAGATGCCATTTGAGGTTTGAGCAGAGAACTGGGAATGTCAAGGGGTAGGCTAAGTCTGGGATCATCTAACCTCAGAGTTCCAAATTGGAAAACCATGTTGGAAAATCTTGCTTTGAAAAAATGTTCTCCCCAGGGCCATGTGTTCTTAGAACTAAGGGAAGCAGGAAAAGTGGGTGGGGAGAGGGTTTGTCATGGTGATTTCTCAGAGCCCTGTCAGTTCTAACCTTCATGATATCTGGGCAGGATCTGACTTTATCCCTGAAGTAGGCTGCAAACCACTTCTCTTAAGAGTTTGCAGTTTCCTTGAGGGCTTAACATTTAGAAAACAGGAGGGAAAGAAAGTAGGGAGCGAACAGGAAAACAGCAAAAAGAAAAAATCATTACAGGAGGAAGAGTTCAGCCATGTGAATTCAAGGCCCATGAATGATAGGAAGCTGGATCCCAAGTTGGAAGCCACATTGAATTAGGGTTATTTATCTACATGAATACTGCTTCAAAAAAGCTTATGTTCATGGTGACCTGAAACCCTCTTAAGAAGTAATTTATAAGTTGAACACTGGTGGTTCACACCTGTAACCCTAGCTACTCAGGAAGCTGAGATCTGAGCATCTTGGTTCAAAGCCACACTAGGCAAGAAAGTCTGGGAGACTCCTATCTCCAATTAACCACCAGGAAACCAGAAGTGGCGCTGTGGCTCCAAGTGGTAGAGTGCTAGCCTTGAGCAGAAGAGCTCAGGAACAGCATCCCAGGCCCTGAGTTCAAACCCATGACTGACTGACAAAAAGAAAGAGAGAGAGAGAGAGAGAGAGAGAGAGAGAGAGAGAGAGAGAAGTAATTTACAGCAAAAGTCAAGAGGAGACCTTTAGCTCCCCATCTTCTCCATTAACCCCATGACAGTTTAGTAAGTCTGAGTAAATATCTCTTCCATATTAGATGAAGTGGTTTGTATAGGGAAGCCTTATAAAACCCACTTCCAGTCATGTTGAGGCCTCTGGTTCCCTGATTCCTTGGAAAGTCCAAGGCCATAGTTCTGACGCAGCTGCACAAATATCTCTTGAGTGATCTCTGCAGGCATTGAAGCTCTCCATGCTAACACGACTCTAGAAAGCACCCTATCTTCCACAGGGTCTGACACTGCCCAGTGGGTATCATCATCGGGTCTTCACAGTCAGGATTTCCTGAAGGATTCCATCATGCTTCAATTTCTTTTTAATGACAGGGGGTGAAGGAAAACTAGGTGTGATGTTGGTGAAGTTTCTTTCTGACATCTGGGGCTTTTGAAAGGAGTGCTGTGGAAAGCGCATGTGACCCAGGACCCCAGAGTGGCGAGAGGTTTACAACCTGTTTCACCTTGAATTTTGCTCACTGGTTTTAAAGCGAATATTAGTTACCAACCTCATTTTCCATGTGTCTGATTGCCTGTCTTCCTAAAGGAACTTCCGTCCGCGCTGAAGTCTGCTTTATCTGGTCACCTGGAGACAGTGATTCTGGGCTTGTTGAAGACACCTGCTCAGTATGATGCTTCTGAGCTAAAAGCTTCCATGAAGGTAAGCATGTGTGATATGTAATTAACATGCCGTTAATATTTCTGAATTGCAGCTTATTTTAGTGTAATTTAGGTGATTAACAGTTTTTGTTGAATTCTCATTTGGGATTTTTTTTTCCTTTTCAAATAAACTGAAGCTGTAAGTTTCAGGATTTGCACCAAAAATATTTCAATTGCTTTTTTTTTTTTTAAAGATTGAAAAGAAATTTCGTGATACTGAGAAGTCACTCACCAGCTGTGATTACTTGGCACCTGGGCGATTGCAATGCCATTTGGGAAAACTACTTCCCTGATTGCATTTCCTCTGTAAGATAGATATGTTGTGATATGAAGAAGGAAACACTCATAGCTTTTGTTAAGAGAAGCCTGCAAATTCTGCTCATGTTCATGAGTGTTTCTTCCTTTGACCAGCTTCATGTTCTCTCTCATTGTTCCATGTCTGGGTCCAAATCATAACCACACAGGCATTAAAAAGGGATATCAGATTGTGAATGGTTGTCTGTATTTTGTTCAAAATGTTGACTGTGCATACATATCGTCTATGCTTTTCTTGTGCAAAGTCAACTTGAATAAACAAGTTCAGGTTAACTTAATAAGAAGTCTAGGTTGGAACCCCCTCTTGAAAATACCAAATGTTATTTAAGTGTAGTAGATATATAAATGCTTGTGAAAGCAAAGCATGGTCCCTCTTCCTTAAAGTGGATTTGCTACATTTTAAATAATCTGATGCTGCCCTCTGCTGGCAGAACTGAGTAAAATCTCTGCAGTAGCTAGGGAAGCTGAATTTTCCCTTAAAAAAAAAAATTCTAGGTCTGTTTGGTTTTCTGTCATGCTACAATTGCTTTTTTAAAAAAAATTGTGAGCAGATTTAATTGTATGCCTTTCTCCAGAGCTGATGTCACAATTTTACTGGCTATCCTTCTCCAGAGAGCACTACATCACATACACAAGGGGATTGGCTTTGAATTTCCTAAGCAGGCCATGCATGTCAACAACTGTTCATGATACTGCTTAATGGAGGTAGCATTCCTGGATGCCATATTTTTGGCCCTCTGGAGCCTTGCATGAGCCAGTCTCTTCTCGGGTTTTTTCAGACCATCAACTCAGCTGATCGTACTTTCATCAAGAGTCCATTTAGTCACGATCCCTGTGATTTTTCCAGTATCTATTACTAGGCATTACTGACGAGACAAACCAGTTTGAGCTCAGTCATGGCTGTAATCTATGTAACTGGACCCAGTGAAAGGTGCTTTAACTATCACAACTTTCACCTGTGCCAGCTCTTCCATTAGCCCTTCTGAAATCCATGAAGCTTGACATAACAGTAACAGAATTGTGTTTAAAAAAAACATGTGTTTTGACTTCTGGCAATCTAGTGGCAGTATCTGTCATATGGCACAGGAGAAGTTGTCCTTGGGATATTGGGTGATCCATGGAAAACATGGACTATTGCCAAGGTCACCTTCAAATGCAGAGATCAAACCACTGTTAGGATTCTCAGCGATCAACATTGCTATATGGATGATAGGAGGCAGCAGGCTTTCTATTATTAATGTCCTCCTTGTATTTCTAAGATGTCAGGATGTAGCGTTTCTTCCAATGCATGAGTTACTTTTAGACTGCATTTCTATCACCCTTGAGATTGAAAACTTGCTCCTCCCTAATGTATTCAAAGATGCTCCGCAGTCGTTTCGTAACATCTATGTGCTGCGTGGATCTTTTGCTAACATGAGAAGAACTCAGGGCTTTGCTGGGACCTCTACACATCATGATAAAACTCTGGAAGAAGAGCCATTGGCTCAGATTAGATTAAGGATAAAATGCAAAATTAACCATTAAGCAGAGGCTTAGCTTGGATTCTACAAGCTACTTTTTCAGGGACATATAAACTCTAATAAGTTTAATTAATGTCTGACACACTTTTCATGTGGATAAGTAAGTTTCTTATTGTATTAACACCTTATAATTGATTTACATTTTAAACAGTTGTAATTCTGCTTAGTTCAAAGTGATATTTCCATATTGGGCTTTCCCATGTATTAGAGAGTCCTGATTATTAAATCTTGACTTTGATCATGAAGCTAGCTTTGAAATACATGTTTCATTGAGTCCTTTCAAGCTATCCAGCATGCTCCAAAGTGTACATATTAAATTTGAATACATCACGCATCAAATTCTTATTCCTTAATAAGGTGTTGGTGTCTAGGTTTATTGAGTACCTCACTGTTTCCTTTTGCTTTCCTAAAGTGCCCGAAGACTGCATAATAATGAAGCAAAAATAGAGGTACAAGAATGAAATTTTAAACATTAACCCAATTTTACATTTCAAAGAAAAGAAGCTAAAATTTTTATCTTAACTGTATTTGGCTATGGTCAGAAGACTTTCTAGTCTACTGATGCTAGCTGTGGCACCATAAATTTTCTATATTCCTTTATCAGATTCATAGAAAAATTGCTTAATGAAGAAATAAAATCAGGGGAAAAGTTTCTTTATAAACCCATCACTTAAAGGTGACCGCAAGAATGGGAAGAGGAAACAAAGGAGGAGGCAACAAGGCTTGATAGGAAATGTACTCATTACCTTGCCCATGGAATTGTAACCCCTCTGTACGGTATTTTCACAATTAAAAAAAAAAGAAAGAAAATTAAAAAAAAAAGGTGACCACATTCGATTGCTGTTTTCTCATACACTTAAAAAGATTAAACATAGTTCAACTCAACCACACCACTTACACATTATTTTGTGCTCTATTAAAGCTTTAGAAGCTGCACACTAGTGGTTCCTGGCCTGCAATACTAGCTAATCAGGAAGGGTGAGTTCTGAGGATTGTTATTTAAAGACAACCCAGAGCCCACCAAAAAAAGCCCATGAGATTCTTATCTCCAATTAACTGGCAAAGAGCCAGAAGTGGAGCTTTGGCTCAAGTGGTAAAGCACCAGCCCTGAGTGAAAGGCCCTGAGTTCAAGCACCAGTACTGGAGCGCACACAAGTACATGCATGCACGTGCACGCGCGTACACACACACACACACAGCAATAGAAAAAACACTTATTTGATACTGAGAAACAGGGGATAGATTGCTCGGTAGGAATGGGAAGGGAGAAGGTCAATAGCCACCCATCCACAGTTGCAGTTTACCTAGCAGACATCAGAACAGAAGGGCCACGTTGAGAAAGGTGGCTTATGTCTGTGCTTCTTCTCTCAGGGGCTGGGAACGGATGAGGACTCTCTCATTGAAATCATCTGCTCCAGAACCAACCAGGAGCTTCAGGAAATTAACAGAGTCTACAAGGAAAGTGAGTAGCCCTATTGTCCATTCATCCTCCTCACCCAGAACCTATGACCCCACATGGCTCCTGCCCGGGTCAGTGCTATGGACAGGATGCCTGGTTGGGGATATGCCTTTCTGGTGAGCTGGTGTGGTCCAGGTCCCTTACAATCATCTCTTTACTGCCTATGTGTTTGGATGAATCATTACATTCTACTAGAACTTCTGCAAAAGGGTAGACAGGAAGGAAAGAGAGATGAAATTTTTATTTCAACAAAAATCCCCAAAGGAGAAGGAGAAAGTACAGTACGTAGATTTTGTATACTGGGTGCTGTCCTGAGGTTCCCAACCTGGGGCTTGCAGATAATTGAAGAATACTTGCAAGAGACCCAGGGGCCTATCTGCAGTCAGAAGGAATGGCTAGTGTAATGCAGATACTGTTTTGAACAATGAACCAGAAATCCATTCAAAAATATTGTTGGGCTCTTATTAGATTTTGCCATGGCCATATCTTCCTTATCTGTGGATAACAAAGTGCATTTGTGTGTGTGTGTGTATGTGTGTGTGTGTGTGCAAAATATTTTTTTAACTTGAAAAACTGCATTTTTTTTATTTGTACACTTAACAAGTTGGGTGCTGGTGGCTCATGTCCATAATCTTAGCTACTCACGAGGCTGAGATCTGATGACCACAGTTCAAAGCCAGCCCAGACAGAAAAGTCCATGAGACTCTTTATCTACAGTTAATCACCCCAAAGACCTAGAAGTGGAGCTGTGCCTCAAGTGATACAGTCAACAGACAGCGAGGGGCCTTCAGTTTAAGGTCTACTCTCCACACCATAAAAACAACAACAACCAAAAACAAAACAAAATCTCTTTAAACATAGAGAGTTATATCTCTGGAAACTTGCTAGTACTGACAAGAAAAGAGGAAAGTGATACCTTCTTTTTGGGGGGGGGCAGTTGAAAAGGAAGTTAGAGAAATAAAAACACAATAAAATGTTTAAAAAGTTAAAGCAGAGAAGGATAGGGATGGGGGGGAGGGGGGAGGCTGGGAAGGGATGGGAAGGGTAAACAAAGGAGGAGGCTGCAATGCTTGGTAAGAAATGTACGTATTATCCTGCCCATGCAATTGTAACCCCTCTGTACAGTATGTTCACAAATAAAATAAAATAAAATTAAAAAAAAAAGTTAAAGCACATTTCCAAATACAAACTTTACACATACTAAACAAATTCGCTGCTAAATAAATATCCAGTTAATAAATTCACACATAATGCCTCCAGCCAGCTCTGAGCTTTTGAAACAGATGTCTTACTATGTAGCCTAAACTCCTGATCCTCCTATTTCAGTCAGCAGGGATTATAATAGGCTGCACGCACTCCTAGCTTGACCTCCAATTGTTTGGCGATTGTTTTAAATGAGCATTCCTAGTGAAAAAGGTGACCTTGAGGACCTATGATTTGATTTGGATCTGTCTACTGTTATTGATAATAAATCCAGTCCTGATTTTATGAGTTAGGCAGCCTTCAGCCTTCGGTTTGGGGCTAAGGAGAGTGTCTAACATACTTCCTGTCCTTTGAGCCTTGGTGGATGAGGGCTATTTGGGGTGGTGGTTCGCAAGAAACATCACAGTGGATGTACTGTTTTCCAAGTGTACAAGACGGACCTGGAGAAAGACATTATTTCCGACACTTCTGGAGACTTCCGCAAGCTGATGGTTGCCCTCGCCAAGGTTGGTCTCCCATTTATTTCTTTGTCCTTGCTTCTTCTCAAGGCAAGTCACATGCTTCATTTTATACCTGGGAACGAATTAACAAAATTCTCTGCACCCGACCAGAAATTTGGTTGCATTTCCGACAGTGCATTTGCAACTGTCAGCTGCAGAGTTGTCATTTTTTGTATAATAGGATTTCTTATCCTGCAAAACCGCATGGACAACTGGACTGTGGGGACGGGAGAGGGGACAGGCAGGCCTCAAGTTCTGGCCTGGATTTTGGTGCCCACCATCACCGCGTGACTTAGGAAAGGTCACTTTGCCGCTATCTGCGGCTGCACAGGATGCTCTTGTTTCTTTCACTTCTCTTCTTAAAATGACAGCATTTAGACAGGGGCAGGGAGTCCTTTGGAGTGGAAGTCTTTGTGGAGCTGATTGCTAATGTCAGCATAAGAACTTAGATGACAAGCATTTCCCGGAGAATCTGGAGTTCTGGCCTGTGTGCCACTGAATGCCTGCTTGTCAGGGGAGGGAAGAGAATTTTTCTCTAGAACCTACCTGATGGCAAATGACTGATGAGTGTGATACGTCCTGGCTCCATATCTCCCTCCCTCAGCTACTCCCAGCTCTCCTCTCTAGCGATCCTTTTCTAATCCATGTCCGCTATTTTACTCTCTGACCAACAGCCATCTTGGCTGCACCACCTCCAGGCTCCCAGCTGCCTTTACCCCTGGGCCTCCTTGCCTCCAGCTCTTCAGGGATGCCCTCCTTCTCCACTGTGCTCTGACTGCACATCGCCTCACTCACCTAAAGTGGTCTGTGTTGTGCAGAGTCTCCCTGCCCCTCCCCCGCTTCTACACTAACCCCCTCATTCAGGGGCTTAGCTGGTTCCCCAGCCCTGGGTTCTCTGTAAGAGTTCTTCCTTCTTATGCATATGACATCCTTGTCTCCTTGATGATCCTGTTGTTTGGCCATATATCACATTCTCCACTTGGACCTTAAGCACTGAACTGGAAAGGATAGGAGGAAATTCTGTAAGGTGCTTAGGTAGGCTGGGACACCAAAGATGGGGCTGATGCTGGTGAGGTACAGCCCTTCCCCACTGCAGTACTTATGACTACTTCAGCACTTCCTGCTCTTGCCTCAAAATGAAGAAAATGATAAGTGAATGTTTGATTCAGGAAATTAAAGAGTAGCTTCTTGGGCTGGGAATGTGGCTTTGTGGTAGAGTGCTTGCGTAGCATGCATAAAGCCCAGGGTTCAATTCCTCAGTGCCACATACACAGAAAGACCAGAAGTGGTGCCTGTGGGTCCAAGTGGTAGCGTACTAGCCTTGAGCAAAAGCAGCTCTGGAACAGTGCTCAGGCCCTGAGTTCAAGCCCCAGACTGGCAAAAAAAAAAAAAAGTAGCTTCCTTGTATTGGGGAGGAAAGATTTTCGGTTTTAAAATACACAAAAGAATAGATTGATGTTCTTAAATCTTTATTTTTCTTGCGATAGGGCAGAAGAGCTGAGGATGGTTCTGTCATTGATTATGAACTGATTGACCAGGATGCCCGGGTAAGTGGCAAGGTTTTGAGCTTGAATTTCTGCTTTCTGGTAAATCTCTGAACAGTTTGTATAATCATCTATTTCTGTGTGACACATTGCCCCCAAACTTAGTGGCACAAACCAACAAATATTTATTGTCTAGCCTAGGGTCAGTGGAAAAAGATAAAATTAGGCTTCGTCTTTGGAAGAGAAGATGATCAAAGAACTTGTAGCCAGGTTTTAAACACACAACAGTTTTTGAATAAAAGCTTCCTTTTTCCCTTTCTGGGAATGATATTTATTAGAATTTATTCCCTTATAGTGTTGGTGCTAATGAACAGATTAGTTCCTGGCTCATGTACACTCATTCAGACTTTGCTTTTATGAAAGTACCAGTTCCCAACTACTAAAGATAATAAAGCTGGGTGCCAGTGGCTCATGCATGTAATCCTAGCTACTCAAGAAGCTGAGATCTGAGGATCATGGTTCAAAGCCAGCCTGGGCAGGAAAGTCCGTGAGACTCTTATCTCCAATAAACCACTAGAAAATTGGAAGTGGCGCTGTGGCTCAAGACATAGAGCTCTGGCCCTGAGCTGAAGAGCTCAGGGACAGTGCCCAAGCCCAGGGTTCAAGTCCCACAACCAACAACAACAACAAAAAGATAACAAAATAAAATGAAAAGAATAGCATTCCTGTTGGGAGGTGCATTCCAATAGAAAGAGCAGTGAGGAAACCGGAGAGGGTGGTACAGGTATAGTCAGGAAGGAAGGCTTTCTTGCTCACTGCTGATGTTGAATAGAAGTTTCCCATAATCAGTGAGAACTATTTGTAAAGCTGATTGAAACAGCTGAGAACCATACATCTTATCCAGACGCTCAATAGTTACCTCAAAGCACATCATGAAACTATAGAAAAGAAAGAATTCAAATTTATAAATTTTAAAATTCAGCCCAGTGCTAGTGGCTCATACCTATAATCCTGTTTACTCAGAAAGTTGAGATCTGAGGATCAAGGTTCAAAGCCAGCCTAGACAGACAAATCCAACAAACTCTTATTTCTGATTAACCAGCAAAAAAAATCCGGAAGTGGAAATGTGGCCCAAGTGGAAGGGTATTAACCTTGTGAGAACCAAGTAACAACATGAGGCCCTAAATTCTGGCACACACACAAGAAAATAAGATAAAATGTAATTCAAATCATTCTGTATGATCCTTTTAGTAAGAGGTAGTAATAAGCATTGGGTTGAACAACTCTCAACTAATGAAGATCGCTGGCTAAATATTTGCTCTTTCTGTGCATCTTTCTGCCATTCTTTGCATTACTTGCAATCCCTAAGTTTTCCAGAAAATGAAAACGAGATTGGACTGGTTGCTTTTCCTGAGTTTCTAAGAAGCTTGAGTAAGAGTGCCTGACCTAAGACTGTCTTTAATAACTTATCTGCTATTAAATATGCCAGAAGAGAGAAGGCTAAATTTACTCCAGAACATTTGATTATCCTTCTTTGTAGGAATAAAAGCTTTTGGTTCTTCTTCCTAGAAAAAGCTCTTAGTCTTTGCTTCCATGTTCACGGAAGGGCAGTTGTGTGGCTCCAACCTCATGATCAACAACAGTCTTAGATAGTAACTGTCTATGCCTAGGGAAGATGGTTTGTGATGAAAACCTTCATCTAAATGGTACATTTTTGGCCATGTCTGTGATGTTAATCATCTTTTCCTATTTGGATTTTTGACTATATAGCTTTAGGGAATAGCTTGACATTTCTTCTGCCCTTGCTCCAGACTGTGTGCCTAATTTTTCCTACACTTTCAGGATCTTTATGATGCTGGAGTGAAGAGGAAAGGAACTGATGTTCCCAAGTGGATCAGCATCATGACTGAGAGGAGTGTGTGCCACCTGCAGAAAGGTGGGTGCTTGGCTGAGGAGGGCTTACTGCCTAGGGGCATTTGATGCTCCTCTAGGTTCCTTCACCATATCTGCTTACCCTCCTTTCTCATTCTGGAGCCTTCTCTTAACTATTTTCCATGAGCCTGGTGCTGGTGGCTCCTAACTAGGTGAGATCTGAGGATTGCAGTTCAGAGTCAGCCTGGGCAGAATGAGACTCTTATCCAATAAACTACTCAGAAAAAGCTGGAAGTGGTACTGGAAATGGTGCTGTGGCTCAAAGTGGTAGAGCACTGGCCTTGAACTAAAGAAGCTCAGGGACAGCACCCAGGCCCAGAGTTCAAGCCCTAGGACCGACCCACACACACACACACACACACACACACACACACACACACACACACACACACACACACACACACACACACACACACACTTCATGTCTGATTTGTTAGTTTACTTTCTTTTCCAGTTTCATTTGATCTTGCCGTGTATGTTAAGGTTTTTGAGTGTTTCTTGTGGCTTCCAGATGAAATATGTCCCATTTAGAGATCTTTGGCCTGGGTAGTACCATTTGGGATGAGCAGATAACCTGATACCCAGGATATTTGGTATAATGGTGGTTCTGGTCCATCGTGGCAACATCTAGCTCCCTAGGGAGCTATTTAAGATCACCTTCATACTTTAAAAAATAAATAATGGTACATAATTATGTGGGTAATCACTGCAGCTTTGACTAGTGGCACTGATTTAAAACATATTTGTTGCATTATCTTAGTATTTGAAAGGTACAAGAGCTACAGCCCATATGACATGTTGGAAAGCATCAAGAAAGAAGTCAAAGGAGACCTGGAAAATGCTTTCCTGAACCTTGGTAAGCAAGTGTGTCCCCCTCATTTCAGCCCTTGACAGTGGTGTCAAGGGATGGGACAAGAAGTGGAAGGGTAGCCTCTTACTCCACTGGGGTTTAGGATAGGGGATGCCTTCTACTCTTGATTTAGATAGTTTTGTAACCTTAATTGTGTAGTTTTAAGGGCATGCAACCGAAGAAAGGCTTAAGTTGGTGGAACAGTTTCTAGGAAGGAATAAGACAATAAGGGGGTTGTGTTGGGGATACTTGCAGATACATATAGATGTCTACAGTCCCCGGAATCCCCTGGTTGAAAGCCACAGTGGAGATTAGTTCAGAAGACTCCTGATTTCCTTAGTCCTTTGCATTCTGTTGAATCAGGTCCTTGTGGTTCGTTCCCCTGGGGCCAGAGTATCATCTACCCCTGGTTCAGGAGTGATAGGAACCTGCATCTCTGACGAGTCTCTCTTTCTTCACAGTTCAGTGCATTCAGAACAAGCCCCTGTATTTTGCTGACCGCCTGTATGACTCTATGAAGGTATGAACACCCAGCCAAGAGACCTGGATTTCCACACTAGGCTCCAAACTGAGTTTTTGCCCTAAACTCAAGTGTGTTTGACTAGTAGAGAAATGAAGGAGTGGATCCCAGGGAGTGGATGCAGGAACTCACTAGTCAGCTGTGGCTGCGTTAATACACAAATTCATCTTCTCAACTGCATGTTCGGGAATAGGTAGAAAATTTAGTGCCACCAGAGGAAGAAGTGCTAGGTGACAGTAGTGTCTGGTACCTGCTGGGGATTTTCAGTGATTTCTTCCTGTTTCTCCCAGAGTGGAGATAAGCGAAGAAGGACAGATCAGGGAGCATTCTCTATGTAGTGGCCCTCATGTTCCTTGTCTTCCCTTCAAACCTGCTCTACAGCCAGCCTGGTGTGAACCATCCCTTCCCATAAACCCATTCCTATCTACCACACCTCCAACGTGTCTGCCTACACTTCGGCTTTGGCACCTCTACCTGAGTTCTTCCTTTGTCCACAGCGACTTTGCCACCTCACATTGGGTTGGCTCTCAAAGTAGACTTGAGTCCTTGCTTTCTGTACCATTCACATTGGCACAAAGCCATGAAATGAAACGTGTCTTCTCTAAGCATTTGGGAGGCAGCCACCTTTTGTAGGTAAACTTATATACTTCTTGAGGCAAGTCTTATAGTAACAGGTGCTCAGTATACATTTATTGAATGTACAGAGCAGGCACATGTGCTGATTAACTTCTGCTGTGTGTGAAACTTCAAGATAATCATTTTCCCCAATGAATAATTTTATTGCTATATATTCAATCTTTATTTAAAAAAAGTATTTGGAGACAGGGTCTCACTGCTGAGATTATAGGCATACACTGCCATCCCCAATTTGTTGTTTTTTGTTTGGGCACTGTTCCTGAGCTTCTTTTACTCAAGTCTAGCACTCTACCACAGCGCCACGTCTGGCTTTTTCTGTTTATGTGGTACTCAGGAATCGAACCCAAGGCTTCATACATGCTAGGCAAGCACTCTACCACTAAGCCACATTCCCACCCCCCAACTTGGTTTTTAATCTCTTAAGAAGGCAGCACCAAGAACCAGTTATGCTCCAGAAAATGTAGTATATGCTTTTTAAAAAAATTGATGATATGGTTGAGTAATTTAACTTAATGTTAACTTTCAGGGCAAGGGGACTCGAGATAAGGTTCTGATTAGAATCATGGTCTCCCGCAGTGAAGTGGACATGTTGAAAATTAGGTCTGAATTCAAGAGGAAGTACGGCAAATCTCTGTACTACTACATCCAGGTAAGGCCTGGGGTGCTAGGTTGGCTCTGCCTGGCTGGGCAGAGGGCCTAGATTCCTTGGCAGGTGGCTACTCAGAACAAGAAAATGAAGAAAACCACTACCTTTTGTACTCCTCTGGGAAGAGATGATAGTTACCATATAACATAGCAGAGTTCTAAGCACTATTTTTTTTGGGGGGGGGTCTGGTCGTGGGGCCTGAACTCTGGGCCTGGGCACTGTCCCTCAGCTCTTCAGCTCAAGGCTAGCGCTCTACCACTTGAGCCACAGCACCACTTCCGGCTTTTTTCTTTTTGCTTATGTGGTGCTGAGGAATCTAACCCAGGGCCTCATGCATGCAAGGCAAGTGCTCTACCACTGAGCCAACTTCCCAGTCCCCTCTAAGCACTATGGAAATCACTACTAACTGTCCTGGATTTTGGGATGGGGCCAGTATTTTATATTTCTTACAATTTCTTATATTTCTGTGATGGTGTTTGGTATTCAGGATGATGGTCCTGCAAGATGAAGTGATATCCTAGACTCTGAAGACCAATTAAATTTTATAGTCTACTTGTTTCTTGAAAAAAATCTTCAGAAAGGCCTGATACTAGGTAGTTCCCCAGAAATCCCGTCTCTTCAGTCAACAGTCTCTGGCCACTTTGGAGTGATGGAACATTGGCATATAAAAGCTGATTATATTGGCAGTAATAACACTGTATATAATTCAGACAGGCTTTTTCCTTCTTTCTCTCTCCTTCCTTGCTTCCTTTCCTTCTTTCCTTTTTCCTTTCCTTCCTTCACTTTTCCTCCCTTCCTCCCTCCCTCCCCCTCCCTCCCTCTCTTCCTTCCTTCCTTCCTTCCTTCCTTCCTTCTTTTGCTTTTCTCTCTCCTTCCTTTTCACCTCCTGTTTCTTCATCCCTTTCCCCTTCTCCTCCCCCTCTTCCTTTTTTTTCTTCATTATGCAAGTACTTTACCACTGGGTTCTATCTTCAGCTCTTTTTTACTTTGAGACAGGGTCTCATTCATTTGCCCAGGCTGGCCTTGAAGCTCTCCATCCTCCTAACCTTAGCTTCCTGAGTAATTGGGAGTACATGTATCACCATGCCTGGCTGAAATTCCTCTTTCTCAAAGTTCCCCTGGGAAGAGATTCTGGTCACCACATAACATAGCATGGTTGTATAAATTTAGGATAAATTTAGAGGCAGTTCTGGTGTAGTGAGGTTGAGAAACCAGTTTGACTCTGAGTCACCAATTCCTCCCCTCACTAGTTTAAGAATCCATGAAAGAGTAAAATGAGTAGAGATATACTCTGTCCTCTGTGGAAGGGTGAGGAGTGCAATACTGCTCTGCAGAAAGGGAAAAGGTATCTTGAAAGTCTCCCAAGCACCTTCTCCTACCACATTTCCAGAGGGCCTGCAGGGCTGCACCGTGAGTGTGGGCTTCTACTGTGTGTGTGTGTATGTGTGTGTGTGTGTGTGTGTGTGTGTGTGTGTGCGTGCTTAGTAGTAAGCTGAGACTCCTCCGCATGGAGTTTGGTCTGTTTCCTAATTCTATATTTCTCTTTTCTCCATGGCTATTTACAGCAAGACACTAAGGGTGACTACCAGAAGGCCCTGTTGTACCTGTGTGGTGGAGATGACTGAGTTATCACGTGGCTGGAGCATCCTGACCCCAAGCTTCCTGTGCACTCACCTAATATTTTAGAGAATCAGCTTGCAACTAACAGACCCCAGAGCCCCTCCCTGTGAAGTCCTTGTTAGCATTGCCTCTCGCTACTATTTTAGCTGCCTTAAAAGCAATGCCTGGCTTTCCCTTCAATCTCTCCTTTAAGCCAAAGAAATGAACATTCCAAAGAGTTGGAAGTGAAGTCTATGATGTGAAACACTTGCCTCCCACATATTGTGTCATAAATAAACTGAGTTTTTACTTTAGAAACAAGTACTCTGGTAATCTTGCTTGTTTAGCATTCTGTGGTTTAAAAATTATACATGCTAGCCAGGCTCCAGTGGTTCATTCCTTTAATCCTAGCTACTCAGGAGGCTGAGATCTGAGGATCATGGTTTGAAACCAGTCTGGGCAGGAAAGGCTGTGAGACTCTTATCTCCAATAAACTACTCAGAAAAATCTGGAAGTGATGTTGTGGCTCAAGTGGTAGAGTGCTAGCCTTGAGCAAAAAGAAGCTCAGGGACAGCACTCAGGCACAGAGTTCAAGCCCCAGGGCTGGCAAAAAAACAAAAACAAAACCAAAAAGCCCAAACCCAAAACAAAACTAAACAAAAACCATGGTGTGGATTGTGTTTAAGCTAGAACTGAGGTGTCCTACATAGTAGCCACTATCAGATGTTATTAAATGTAAATGGATTTAAATTACGCAAAGCTTGAACTCGAGATTCAGTTCTTGTCCTGGATGTATTGCTTGGTGGTAGAGCACTTGCCTGGCATGCACAAGGCCCTGGGTTCTATCTCCAGCACCACACACACACACACACACACACACACACACACACACACACACAGTGCAGGGGCAAAACATTTCCACAGTAATAGAATGTTCTTTTGAGCAGCATTACATGGCCAAGGGAGGTGAGTACCCCAGGAGGGAAATCTCAGAGCAACTCCTCTTGTGCTCATCTTTCTGCTGACAAATTAGGTGAAAACAAGCATCTGTGGTGGCCAAAAACTGGGGGCAGGGATGCTGTCGTATGGCCAATTCTGTGTATCACATATTGCATATACAGCCAAGCACCAGGGGCTCACACCTATAATCCTATCTACTCAGGAGGCTCAGATCTGAGAGTTGCAGTTTGAAGCTAACCCAGGCCAGAAAGTCTGTGATACTCATCTCCAATTAAACTACCAAAAAGCCAGAAGTGGAGCTATGGCTCAAGTGGTAGAGAGCAAGCTTTAAGCAAAAAGAAACTCAAGAACAGTGCCCGTGCCCTGAGTTCAAGCACTAGAACTGGCACACATTGTATATACGATAGACCCAAGGGTATCTACAGGATTATGGTTGAAGAGACTGCCACTGAAGGAAATCTGCAAATGCTCAATATGTATAGAGTTCAGTGCTGTAACTGGGGATATTTGGTTCATTTTTCTCAAATTTTCTCTGAAACCTAAAATTTCAATTAAACCTAATCACTTATACCTTGCATATTGCTTTTGCAAAGACAGATTCTCATGAAATTAAAGGCAGGGAAACACTCAGATCACACAATTTGAACATAACTGAGGATAATGTGGGATTAATTGAGAGTTTCTCCATATCAAGTGAGCCAGGAAATGAAAATTTGTTTTGCAATTTTTTTCCTTGTTCTGGTCCTGGGGCTTGAACTCAAGTCCTGGGCACTGTCCCTGAGCTTTTTATTTCCCCTCAAGGCTAGCACTCTACCACCTGTGCCACAGCTCCTTTTCCAGCTTTATGCTGGTCAATTGGAGATAAGAGTCTCGTGAACTTTCCTGCCTGGGCTGGCATCAAATCATGATCCTCAGATTTCAGCCTCCTGAGTAGCTAAGATTACAGGTGTGAGCCACTGGCACCAGGCTTTCTTCTGATTTTTTAAAAAATGATATTTTAACCATGATTGGCAAAATCACATGTAGGTAAATCAGCAAGTAAGGTAGCTTGCTGAATGTCTGGAAGTCTTCAGACTTACAGAAATACGTAACAACCTCCCCAAGTTCAAGAACTCAACTGGCAATGAGTCAGGCTACAGCCTCCTTGCAAAGGAAGGCTAAGCAGGCAGAGTGGATGAGAGCACAGAGAGGAAGGTGACAGGTCCTGACAAATCTGACCAAAGGAAGCATTTGAGCTATGTCCTAAAACCCAAGATGAAGATTTACAGCAGGTGTGGGGTGGGGGGAGGCGGGGACAGTTGGTTCCTTGTGCAGACTCTTATGGGTCAGATAGTGAAGAATGGGTCATTCATACAACTGACACACCTGCCAAAAGGTACAACTGTACCCTTACAGAAAAGAGTTTAATTTGGTTGCTTGATAAAGCAAATGATTTAAGAGATAAAGAAGAAAGAATTTTATTCAGTGTCCAAAGAAGGGAGAAGTGGTACATTTTACTTTCATATCAACTCCTTGACTCCTGGAAGTTAAGGAGTTATAGCTATAGAGCAGGAATAATGAAGGAAAAAGAAGCTGATAAAGAGGACTATTTATGTCTTTCTCAGGAACGGAGATGCTACCTCTTTTTTGCTCCTTTTATGGTCTGGTATTTCCTGTCATGGCAGCTGGTAGGTATCATGTCCAAAGGGACAGAGACAAAAGACACAGATAGATGTCAAGCCTTTCTATCTTATTCCAGTAACCTTATTGGACATCTGCAGGTCTAAGTGTGAAGAGTCACTATTTTCAGTGAAAGTTGCCATCCAGTCCCTGAAAAGTAACCTAGGCAACTGTTACTATCACCCAGCCAGCAGAGGTGTTCCCAATACCAAAGTCAGTGAAGGCCAAATGATGCACTGTCCAGCTATGTGGCTTTCAAAATTAGTGATTGCTAATTAAGTGAAAGCAAATAAGGTTAGAGGGTTTAAGGGTTTTCATTCATAACACAATGATTATATATGGTAAGAATTATTTGAGCTTCCTGCTCCTCTGCCCAGTCAAGCAGTGTCCCTCTCTAGAACCATGTGGTTTCTGGCGCATCTCTGTTTAAACAGACTATGCATAATAAATATGCATGTGCATTTACATCACTACTTCAGCTCATACCTGTGAAGGTCCTAGTTACCTTAAGTACTGCTAGGAGACAGAGGAAGTAAGGGACCTGACTGAAGACCTCTGGTACATTTTCTCCACATAGGAGAAATCTCGATAAATCTTGTTAATCTTACTAAATCTTGACAGTTGACAGAGTAACCTCAGTATCTGCACATAGTGGATGGAAGTATCTAGCTGGACAGAAGTGGGGAGCCTGGAGAAGGTGGAGGCCACTTGCACTGATTTAGTCATTCTAATTCAATTAAAACAACAGTAGCAACAGTGTTGACCCTACCAACCATATCTGTGAGCTGACTGGTTTGCTGCTGTGACCCCTTGGCCAACTTCAGAGAGAAGTTGGGAAGGAGCATAGCTCTTGGGTCACTTGTGACCCATGAAATGCCTCTGAGATAGTTGTTCAAAAGCAAGTTATGCAAACAGGATGTTTTTTATTTTTTATCAAATATGACCTCCTGTGCATATTAGAACTGATGACCTAAATCCCCAAATATACTCTTCCATGTGCTTGCAGCAGAGTTCAAAGAGCCACATAAGAAGCTGGACCTTTCTGTTTAACCCCAAATTATCATGCTGAACTGAGAATTGACAGAGCTGGGTAACCGATGCCAAGAGCAATGTTTCAAATCAGGAAGCATTTAGGCATTTTTCCTCTCTCCTATAAGACTGTTTTCAGGCTGCAAAGGGAACAGTAGGGGGAAGAGAAGGCAAAACTGCAGGGGAGCATGGGGTGACTCCAGCTGGGTAGGCCTGGCTTCTCATCTAGTCTGACTGTCCCAAATCCACAGCAAGTATGAAGGAAAATTCAAAAGGCAGGCTGTCACAGGAGATCACCATGCTCTGTGGTGCCATGGTTGTCTAGTGTTTTCCAAAATCAACAGCAAGGGCACTTGGAGTTTGGTGTCATTTTTCTTCTGGATTCCAGCCTGTCCTCTGTCAAGCTGTGCAAACCATTTCTTGAAGCAAAGACTACCATCTGGAGATTGGGATATTTTCCTATACCATTTTACTTTGCAAAGAGAAGAAAAAGGACATTGGGCAGGCTTTCAGTTTGTTTGTCGATTTTGTTCTTTGAGGGATAAAAGGTCATGAATGGGCAGTGTAGTAATGGAAACTTACTGAAATTATCACACCACAATGTTATTCCAGCCAGGCGCTGTCGGTTCACCCAAGCTATTCTGGAAGCTGAGATGTGAGGATCAAGGCTTGAAGCCACCCTGGTCAGACAAATCCAAAAGAACTCTTTTGTCCCATTACACAACAGAAAGCTGGAAGTGGAGCTATGGCTCAAGTGGTAGAATGTCCTGAGTTTGAGCCTTAGTACCTATAAAGAAGAAGGGAGAAGAAAAAAGGAAGAGAGAAAGAGAAGAGGAGGAGGAGGAAGAAAAAGAAAAAGAAGAAAGAAGGAGGAATAAGAAGGAGGTGGAGGAGGAGAAAGAGAAGGAGAAGAAGAATTTCCTCTCCGGTAGTAGGACTGGGCAAAGCTCTTACATTGCCTAACACAACATACTCTTTGCTAATTGTCGTCTATGCGTATGTTATCTCCTCTGATATATACTGTACAACTTGAGCAGTCAAACATGATGGTCGTATATTGTGATGATTAAGTACACATGAAATGATCTACCAGGTTTTCTGACAAATAACTAGCTTCCAAATTTAAAGGCAAGAAGGGGAATCTTACTTGGAACTGATAAATGAGCCTTGAAAGTCCCTTCTTTTCTTTTAGTCCCTACTTTTCTATGGCCTTTTGATTCTTCGGTCCATTTTACTGGTCCGTTGGGCACATGACTGTATGTGTAAATCTTCCCAGAACGTAAAGTTCCCAGGGTGTAAGTTATTAGAAAAAATAGATAAAGCAGGGGGAAAATGCCCAGGCTTACGAACTAACTACACTGAGCAAGAAAAATGATTTGAAGACAGAAATCTTTTAAATCAATTTTTAGTCTTTAAATGGCTCCAATCTTCCTATGTTTTGACAAATGGCTTTGGCTTCTTATCCACATCCATTTATTTGACCTCCTTTTTCCATCAACTACCAAATGAAAACTGCACTGCAAGAGAGAAGAGAGAGAGAGGGAGCAATTTTCAACATCCCTTAGCAATGAGGCAGAACGTGCTACAGCCATCAAGTTCTAGTTGTTCATTCTATTTATTGAAAAGAGGCTGTAGCCCGATTTCTTTTATGCAAGTACATTGGAGCAAGTAAA